CGAGCTCGGAAAATTTGCTAAGAGAACTCGAGACAATTCAATAGAGAACAAAATACCAAAACACTGAGGTCACCAAAGAGACAACACAAACTGGAAGCACAGACACTTCAAGCAAATGGTCGTGGCCAGCTGGGTGACGGGCACTTCATTCCAGCATAAAAATAGAAAGTCGCAAGAGATCATCTCCTGCACCCAAACAACTAAAATGAGCGAGACAAGCTACATAATCACAGTTTTTAAAACTCTACCCAGACTGAGGAAACCTCAATCAACTCCAAAGAAGGGGACATAATCCTCACTGCTGTCTTCCTGTTGTGCATGTGAAGGTCAGGAACCCACGGGGGACGAGGGCTAAAGGAGGCAGTCTGAGGCTGAGATGTTTGCACAGAGCAGAGCAGGAGCCCAGAGCCAGGGGCACAGGGAGACACAGACACACACACACAGAGACATACACACAGGAGCCAGGGGCACAGGGAGACACAGACACACACACACACACACACACACACACACACACACACACACACACTGACACACACACACACACACAGAGACATACATACACAGGAGCCAGGGGCACAGGGAGACACAGACACACACACTGACACACACACACACACACACACACACACACACACACACACACACAGAGACATACATACACAGGAGCCACGGGCACATGGAGACACAGACACACACACACACACACACACACACTTTTCCACAGTCTCCAGCAAAGAGGAGTCCCAGCCCCCAGGTGTGAACACAGATGCAAATCCTGGTTCTCTCTCCTTCTTACACCACTTCAATAAACTCTTTCAAAATGAAGACAAGACAGCTGAGACCATGTCTGCAGCAGCCTCGGGAGCCAGAGGCGCCAACAGAGTGGGACAGGCCATCGGCACACAGGGCCATCGCGGTCACCTACACAGTCACAGCTCCAGCTGCGAGGCTGTCAGAGCTCGCAGGACACGGAGAGCAGGGAACAAATCAGACGAGCAGAGAGACTGCCTCAGAAACACAGAAACCCGGCGGCCGGCCTGTAAAACAAGAAGGGACTCCCAGGAGTCCGAGGGAAGATGGAGGACAGCCCATGCCAGACAAGAAGGTGCACAACACCATGACCCAAGAGGGAAATGCCAAACAAAACAGCCCGATACAGCACTTCACGCCCAGCAGCACTGCTCAGAAAGCAAGCCACACCAAGTGTCGGCACGAAGATTAGGGACCTCCCGAATGCTGTGGGCGAAAAGCACGAGGCAGCACCACTGGGAACCCCACGGGGCAAGTGCCTGCAGAGCCAAACACGTCTTAATCTGGAGTATTTCCTACTTTCCACCCCACTGACAACACCTGTCCACAAAATGGACTCATATAAGAATGTTTATATTAGCTTTATTCATAACAACCCAAAGCTTCAAGAAACCCATTATTCCATCAAGGAAAAAACAGGCAAATTACATAAAGTCCTATTATGGAATACTACTCTGTAATTAAGAAGACTGAACAGCTGATAGTTACAACAGCACAGATGCTTCTCAAAACTGCTATTTTGGGTCGAACAAGCCAGACCCTTTCCTACGGGGTTCAACAGCAGGTCATACGAATCCCTGGTCACAGAAATCACAGCAGTGTGCAGTCCCCACAGCCGTGTGTCCTTTCCCAACTGCACACATGCTCTCGCACCTTCCCTGTCTGCATTTAACACGAAGCATTCCACTGGTATCACAAACCAGGACCAGCAGATGACTCCTTCCACAGCCTTACGACCGATGCCTGATCTGTTACTAACCCTGGGTTTCCTGCAGCTTGGCAACCCACGGGGACATCACCACACATGCCCACGCCTCATGTAAGCTGTCCTAGGCCTCAGACACAAGCGTGGGACACGGTGCTCCTTGCTTGCAAGTCACAGCAGTGAAGCATCTACTGGTGTGTATTAAGAACAAAACTAGTGTCAGGATTTTTTTTTTATTAATTACATTGCATTATGTGACACAGTTCTATAGGTACTGGGATTCCCCCTACCCCTCCCGAAGCCCTCCCCCCGTGGTTGGTTCCTCCACCTTGTTGCATTGCCACAGTTCAGATTCAGTTGAGATTCTTTCATTGCAAGCATATACCAAGCATAGAGTCCAGCAACTTACTGTCCAGGTAAGTTCAAGGGCTTCTTGGGAAGACCATCTCTGGTCTGAAAGTAGAGCTGGCAGAGTATCATCCCGATCAATTAAAAGCTCCAACATAACATCAACAATAATTAATAATGTTATGGAATTAATTGACATAGTATTGAGTAACCAACATGTTAAAAAAAATGCAAGTTCTTTAACACATCCTGGGACTCCTTCATTGACATTTCAGTTTTAGTTTATATACAACCGGTTCTGTACACCTTAAAATGGCTATAGATTGCTATTCAGCTGTCTCGTGTCTATTTTCATTATGGTATTTAGCATTTTATAGCATTGAAGCATAATTTTGCTGAACTTGGCTTTTTTTTCGGGTAGTCTAGACTGGCTTATAACTCTAACAAGGCATATGTCAACAGTTTAGGTGCAGAACAGTTTTAGGAGAGGTGTGCAGAGAAATCATCAGGATCGCTCCAGAAACCCCTCAAAACAAACACACAAACAAGCAAAAACTGAAGAATAGATAGAGAACAACAAGGAAAGCTTAGAATGAGACAGGAAACGGTCAGCATGGATGCACTCATACCTCACTGGGTGGGACACAAGGATCAGTTACTCCTCACTGGGGTACTGACAAGGATCAGTTACTCCTCACTGGGGTACTGACAAGGATCAGTTACTCCTCACTGGGGTACTGACAAGGATCAGTTACTCCTCACTGGGGTACTGAGGATTTCTAGTGTCAGAATCTTCGTCGTCCTTCCCAGGACACACAGCTGTGCAGTGTCACCGCGAGAAAAAGCAGCTCATTTTCCCTGCCTTTTTGCCCCGGTTTTCCTTTCTTGCACTTCCTCCTTCCCCTACCACGGCCTCCCCCACAATCCCCAGGAAAAGGTCCTGTACGCCTGGACCAACCAAACGAGGAGAGACAGTTACACATGGTGGGGAAACGGATGCAAGCTGCAGTCAATGCAGGAGGACAGGCAGATCCCCCAGCAAAGAGCATGGAAGACGTGAGCCAGGCACAGCGTGCAGTGCTGGGAGTCGGCTCTCCTCCAGCGAGATGGACGCCCCCAACAGTGACAGGGATGCCCCCACACTGACGGCAAGACCTGCAGCAGCGACAGAGATAATACCCCCAACAGTGGCACGCATGCGCTCACTAACATCCCCTCCGCGAGCAGCTCCAGGCAGCCACGGGAGCTCTGTAATCTGCTGCAAGACCTTCAGTTTGAAACTGAAGTTTCAAAGACTGTCCCAAAGTTTTTCAATGTTAAGTAATGTGGATGAAATTCTATTCAGAGATTTTAACATCTGAAATTGCCCCAAAATGAGACATATAAGATCCAGGCCATCGCTAGTCATGCTGACCCAGAAAGACAAACCCCTACTCGAGCCTCAACCCAAGTTAGGAGTTTACAGTTATTACATCAAAACAAGCAAAACCAAACACAGGAATGAGAACCGGAGCTAGAAAAATAAAACTGGAGACGCGTGCCTTAAATCTCATGGGGAGGTGAGAGGCACGTTAGGGCTGGCACGAGAGCGGTGAGGCAGCCCCACCCCTGCTGGGCACGAGGCGCGGCCGGGATGGCAGAGGCACATCCCTACCCTCGGACAACAGCCCGGAAGGAAGTGAGCACCCACCGCCACAGAACGTCCTGACACTACAGGAAGACAAAACAACACAGCACCCGGTCACACTGTCTACACTCTACACACGGGGAAAAATGTTCACACACAGCAGCATGACGCTATATCATGAGTAATTTTCATACGTGAAATTTCATAAAATTCTAAAAATACTAGATTTACTGATATCTTTTCCCTGGGCTGTCTTCAAAAGAGAATATAATTTCCTGGGAATCTAAATGTATAAACGCTAGATGAAGACTCAGTACTATTGTCTTTTGCTCAGTACTGATAATACTTTTTATAAACACCGTTTAACCCAAATATTAAGGCTGATACTTAAAGTCTAATTAATCGGTTACTATATTTCTGTTTAGAAATGTCTTTATTGAGAAACTTTGCAGAAGGTGTTTTTTTTTTTTTTTTAAGTCACAAATGTCATAGACTTTTTCATTCCCAGAGTTGGCAGGCACAGTTTCTAACAATCCCATGGAACCGGAAGTCTGAAGAGGGGTAGTAACTGCTAATTTTGTTTAGTCACACACTGCACTTGCACATGCGAAGGGCAAGCTGGCCATGCCAGGACAGCCACATCTCAGCCTCTCTCTTCTCACCCTTGAGGTACAGTCACTTGCACATAAGAGTGAAAGCATCATTTCCCAAATATCTGACCATGCTTCATCTCTTTTTTTTTTTTTAACATGAGAAATGATATCTGGCAGAGGAATCTACAAACGTGTAGATTCAGAGAGGATGATCGCGGGGTGTCCCTCCTGAGAAGGTCCCAGAGGACAGTCTGTTCCTCCTGTAGGCTTCTCAAATTCAATCACAAGTTCAGCATGCATGACTGACTCTTCCAGGACCCACATTTAAATTGTGCCTAAAAGTGGGGTAGGAATCCTTACTAAATCCAAGTTAAGGTACACTGTGAGCGACCTCACAGTGCCATGTGCATCCTTCCCTGGGATACTGAAAAGGATTTGCCCCACACAGGTGTGGAGCTGAGCTGAAGCAGCTGTCTGTACCAGCACTGGCCGGGCCAGCGGCTCCCGGACACCTGACGACCCCGCACCAGGTCCTAACTCCACGGCTCCCTCACGCATCAACGCACCCTCCTATCTGCAGCAGGGGAAAGACGGCCTTCAAACGCACACGTTAGCAGTAGATTCGCGGCGAGGAAGGTGGGAAACGAGGCACTTGTTTCAGGAACAAACCGTGTGCTGTGACACGCTCGCTTACCTGGCGGGAGGAGCTGCAGCTGGTTGTTAGCTAACCGCAGATGACGTAGCGATCTCAGGCGACCGATTTCTGGGCAAACAACTTTTAAGGCATTGTCACTAAGATCCAGGCACTGGAGTTTTACAAGGGACCCAATGGCTTCAACGAGAAAAGAGGTGGGAAGGCCAAAATCAATCTGACCCATGTGTCAAAATTTCTCCTTCAAGGGTTTCAATTTTAACACATACTACAGGCATCTCGGTTGCTCACATGTAAAGACGCAGACCAAGCTACACTTTACGGGAATGATAAACACTCCTAATTCAAGATAAAGTGTGTGGCTTTTTAAATAAAGGATTTTTTGAATAAGTAACTCAATATTCAATAATCAGGATCTTTTTAAATAACCAAGGATCACCTGACCTGACCACTATGGCCTTAAATGTAATCATCATTGTGAAGTGGACTTAGGGAGAGGGGGCAGAAAGCTTCGAGGTGACGAACTGCAGGTGCTTTGTAATCAAAATCACCCCCAATCAGTGCAGGCTGAGGCGGGAGCCGCTCCAGGTGCACAGCACGGCCGTACTGACGTCACGACAGGCAGGTACTCACCTTCCGGAATCACAGCCAGGCTGTTGGAGTGCAGGTATCTGGAAGGGTTGGAGACAAGGGAAAAAGAACAGGAGCCCCCGTCACCAGGACTTCGGCCATGTCACCAGCTTATAAAACATTCACTTAGAAATTCAGTGAATATTAAAGAGTCAAAAGTTACTCTGATGCCCGCCCCGTGGCAACCACGCAAAACACAGGATTATCATAGCTGATGGCTACTTTGAGAATAATATTTTAATGGTAGAATTGCAACTATTAAATCCATTTGTTGATTTAGCTCCTATTTAGCATGCATAACTAGGTAACTTCTGGGTGTTTTTTAAAACCTCTTAAAACAAACTACCAGTTTCTCTGGGCCACGTTAAACTAGCAATTCAGTCTTTCAGAAAAAAAAAAAAAGCCTATTATGTAAAGAAAAATCAGCAACACCTACAACTTTGAGTTTCTCCAGGTAACTTCACAAAACACTCAGCGGCATTTCTAGCTGGCATGCTGAGAACTGAGCATTTACGGCATCTGTGGAAATACTCAACTGTCAAGACAGAACTTATTCCGTAGGGAAAAGGATTTAGTGAAGAAGAAATCAAATTCTTCTAAAATAAAAACTGCTGAGCTGGGATGACAAGCCCAGGCAAGTTTCAGCTGGTCACACTTTCCCCCGGTGTGCCTTGACCACCCTCTAGTGGACACACTATGTAACCACAAGCAACTTCTGAGGCAAAGTTAGGTGTATGTGGAACAGAAAACACGGTCATACTTTAAGAGGTTAATTTAGATATTTCACTTTGAGACTAGAAAATCAGGTTTTAGCCAGTTTTACTTTCAGAAGAGATCGGGCACGTTCAGGGTGGGTATGGCCGTAGACCCAGTTTAACTTTCAAAGCTAGCATTCTATTTACTGCATTTCAAAACTAATTCTCATTAAGTGATTTAAATCATAATTGTCTATATATTGTAGTCTAATGCTGAACATTTAAATGTCAATGAGTGGGACCAGTGTGGTAGCATAGCCAGTTAAGCCTCCACCTATGGCACTGGCACTGGTTTGAGTCCTGGGTGCTCCACTTCCAATCCAGCTCCCTGCCAATGTGCCTGAGAAAGCAGCAGAGGATGGCCCAAGGCTTGGACCCCTGCACCCACGAGGGAGACCCACAAGAAGTTCCTGGCTCCCAGTTTTGGACACAGGCCCAGCCCTGGCCACTGTGACCATTTGTGGAATGAACCAGAAAATAAAAGATCTCTCTCTCTGTCTCCTCTGTTTAACTCTACCCTTCCAGTAAAAATAAATTTTTAAAAAATGTCAGTAAGCACAGAGGTAAGACAGGAACTTATGAACTCCATGGTGATAATTTATTTATGCAATAAAGCTCTATCACAGAAGGTATCGCCTGCTGGGTCACACACAGCGTAGAACCACGCCATTCCATGAGGCATTTCATGCTTTCTGTGTCACGAATGCAGATACATTTTAAAATAACATGCTCTAAACATTGTCTTTATGAAAAAAAATACCTAATTGCTCTATCAGGTGAAACTGAAAATTCTTTGTGCCAGAAACTGTAAACAAATGCATATACATAGGCATAAAAATTAAATATACTTGTGTTTATGATACAAAAGCCAATATGCCTAGAAGCCAAAACAAAGCCCATTTAAAAAGTTTTTCAGCAAAATACTTGCTTCTCAATTCTTGGATTGTTCAAATTGAAATATTCTCCGAAGGCTGATTACTATAACTGAAGCCTTATTTATCTGTTAGTTTATATTGGAAAGGCAGACCAGATTCGAGGAGAAGAGACAGATCGCCCATCTGCTGGTTTATTCCCCAAATAGCTGCAGTGGCCGGAGCGGATCCGATCTGAAGTCAGGAGCCAGGAGCTTCTTGCAGTCTCCCAAATCGGTGCAGGGTTCCATGGCTTTGGGCCGTCCTGGACTGCTTGCCCAGGCCACAAGCAGGGAACTGGACAGGGAGTGGAGCTACTGGGACATGAACTGGTGCCCATGTGAGATTCCTGTGCATGCAAGGTGAGGATTTAGCTACTGAGCCATCACAGCAGGCCCCACAATTGAAACTTTTAAAGTATATTGTACACATTAAAATCATCCACATTATAATGAAGACGCTACATACAGTAATGCAGAGTATTCCAAACCCTGGCTATACAAGGGATCTTCAGAAGGTCACAGAATGGTAGGTGCTTGGCACAGTGGTCACGGCACGTAGGACAGCAGTCTCTCGTAGCAGAGTGCTGCTTTGAGATGTGGCTCCACTCAAGGTTCTAACTTACTGCTAGTGCTCACCCAGGATGCAGCAGGTGACTGTGCAAAACAAGCTTGGGTTGTGGCATCCACATGGGAGACCCGGATGGGGCATCCTGGCGTGGCCTGGCTGACACGAGGAGCGGGTATCCGGGCAGTGAATCAATTTGGGATTTGTCTGCCTGGAGCTATCTGTCTGCTTCCTCTTTTCCCTCTGCCTTTCAAATAAAATTAGTTTTTAAAAATTCATGGGAAATTGGTATTCGCATTTTTAAAAGATATATCTACTTATTTGAAAGGCAGAGCAACACATACACAGAGAGAGACAGAGACAGACACACAGAGATTCTTCTCTCCAGTGGCTCATGGCCCAAATGCCTACGACAGCCAGGGCAGGACTGGGCTGGGCTGAAGCAGAAGCTAAGAACGCCATCAGTTCTCTCACCTGGATAGCGGGGTCCCAAGTAGCTGGAACATGTTCCATTGCCCTTCCTAGTCACACGAGCAGGAAGCAGAATCAGAAGCAACGGTGAAGAGAAAGGGGAGGTGGGCTTCCCAAACAACGGCTCAGTCCACTGTGCCACAACACTTGCCAACTCTATTAACCTTTAATGAACCTTTGAAGTCCTCCTCACACACTGGAATCACCAGGGGTCTGCAAGCCATTGGTGGACAGAGGGAAGCAGAGTCCTGACCCCGTCCATACTGTGATTCGCATGGAACCCCATGAGGGGCGGCAGCGGCAGGGCCCCCCGAGCACGCACGAAGCCAGCTCTCCCAGGATAACTGGAGCTGGCTCCTCAGACACCATGCAAGCCACAGGACAGCGAGCTTCCGGAGATCCGCCATTCGAAAAGGGAGCCACCACCATGATAAACTGGGACTACGCATTCCAGTCCCAGGGAGAAAGAATTTAAAATACATGTAATAAATGCAAAACCCAAAACTGTCGGACTTTCACAGAAGAGAAGGAGTAACAACTGAGGACCCTGTGGGTGCCAGTGTTAGAAAAAATCTTACACCTGACGAAAGAAACATGATTCTTCAAGACAAAAACTGCCCACCAGGAAAGCTGTTGCTCCGTAAGGCACTAAGGCACTACGAAGAAGATGGAAAGCCCAGAAGGCCCCGGGGGAGAGCCGGGGAGGCCGTCACTCGGCAGGAGGCTCACTGCCACAACAAGGAGACATTTTAAAAATCCACAGCAAAACACTATTCTTGTAACAGAGGGAGACAGACCTTTGATCAAAGGAAAGAGAAGGGCATGAAAAGACAACGAGAATCCTTAGAGAAACATAAGGACCGCAGTGTGACAAACCACAGCGCACACCCACGGGGGAGACGTGCAAGAACCCCCGGCCCTGGCTGCAGACCCACTCAGCTCCGGCTGCCGGGGCCATGTGGGGAGTGGATCGGTGGCTGGAAGGTCCACCTCTCTGTAACTGCTTTCCAAATAAGTAAATAAATCCTAAAAAAAAAAAAAAAAAAAGAAAGAAAGAAAGCCAAGCAGTGACAATGCCGCACGTGGATGAGATGCAGACACTAGGTAACCAAACCCACCAGAGGGAATGTCGAACTTCACAGATAACATGCAGTTTCTTCTAAAACTAAAAATTGTGAGCAAAGCAGAAGCCTGAGCACTTGCGCAAGTTCTCTGCTCCACAGAGCCATGCGACTCTGGAGAACAAGAGCACCTGCGAGGACAGACTCTGGCAAGAAGCCGGAGGCTGCAGGGCTGGGCAGGGCTGGGCATGGTCGGGCGTGGTCGGGCAGGGCTGGACAGGACCGGGCAGGGCTGGGTCGGGCATGGTCAGGCAGGGCTGGATAGGGTTGGCTGGGCATGGTCAGGCAGGGCTGGGCAGGGCTGGGCTGGGCACAGTTGGGCAGGGCTGAACAGAGCTGGGCTGGGCTGGGCATGGTTGGGCAAGGCTGGACAGTGCTAGACAGGGCAGGGCTGGACATGGTCAGGCAGGGCTGGGCAGAGCTGGACATGGTCAGGCAGGGCTGGGCAGGGCAGGGCTGGGCAGGGCTGGGCATAGTCGGGCAAGGCTGGGGGCATGGTCAGACAGGGCAGCGCTGGACAGTGCTGGGCAGGGCCAGGCAGGGCCAGGCAGGGCTGGGCATAGTCGGGCAAGGCTGGGGGCATGGTCAGACAGGGCAGCGCTGGACAGTGCTGGGCAGGGCCGGGCAGGGCCAGGCAGGGCTGGGCATAGTCGGGCAAGGCTGGGGGCATGGTCAGACAGGACTAGGCATGGTCGAACAGGGCTAGGCAAAGGCAGAATCAGGGCAGGATTGGGCATGGTCAGGCAAGGCTGGGCATGGTCGGTAGAGTGAGACAGGGCAGGGCAAAGCTGGGCTGTGCATGGTCAGGGCCAGAGCAGGGCCAGAGCAGGGCCAGGCACGGTTGAACAGGGCGAGACAGGGCCAGGCATGGTTAGATAATGGCCAGGCAGGGCAGAACTGGGCATAGTCAGGGTGTAGCCAGGCAGGGCTGGACAGGGGAGGGTCAGGCATGGCCAGGACAAGGCTGGACATGGCCAAGCAGGGGCGGACATGGTTGGGCAGGGCCGGGCAGAGTTGGGCAGGGCCAGGGTAAGGGCCAACTCAAGTGAAAGGGCTGGGGGGAGGGGGTGGGTGAGAGCAGTCCCAGAGCTGTGTGCAGCTTGCACCCAACATCGGCACCAGTCCGGCCGTACTGCCCAGCTCTGCAGGAATCTCGGGTCCCAGGGGCTGTAACCTCTGGGAGACACAGCAGGTGGGGGCAGAGCTGTCACACTGGGGCTCCTCCTTGGGAATGGCACAGCTCTGGCACCACATCATCTGAGAGACAAAGACGAACGCCTGGCATGGTCAACACGGGCACAGGGTTTCTCTAGAATGTTCCCCAGCCACAAGCAGGAACAGGTCAGTCATGTTCGATGTGAAAGCGGTGCTCTGCACCAGTACCCGGACAGAGATGCCAACGTTTGTGGGAAGCACAGTGACAACCAGTAACAGTGAGAAAGTGCAGACACACACACCCCACAGCGGAATTCACGGAGTCTGCCGAGACCCGCTGAGCCCAGCAGGCAGCATCAGTGTCAGCGTGGACTACAGAATCCACGGCACTAACACTGCAAGAAGCTGGCGGAAGGTTTCTGTATTCTTTCTTGTGACTATAGGTGAATCAGTGTCTTGTCAAAAGTTTGTCTACTTGAATGGCAGACTGACAGAGAGGGAGACACACACAGAACTTCCGGTTCACTCCTCAAGCACCTGCTGCAGCCAGGGCTAAGCCAGACCAAGGTCAAGACCCAGGAGGTCCACCAAGCTCTCCCACATGGCTGACAGAAACCCAAGTGCTTGAGGGTGCTGGGTTGGAGTTGGGATGCCCATGGAGGGCAGGTGTCCCATGGAGCAGTGTAACCCACTGAGCCAGGCCTGCCCCTTTGCCAACAGCTTACAGTAAAAAACTGATTTTATAAAGACAAACTTTTTTCAGGTGTATCGTGTCTCTGCTGCCTCCTCCCCGAGCTGGCTGGTCAGGGCGAGCCAAGGCGGAAGGCACCCTGAGCTGGCTGGCTGGTCAGGGCGAGCCCAGTGCAGGGGACAGGCAGGAAGGCACCCCTCTTCTGAGCTCTGTCCTGTTTCCTGCTCCTTTGTTTGTTTCCCCAGTGTGATAGCTCAAGCAGGCAACTCTCCCTGTGAGGGCCTTGGCTTGTGTCCCGTCCAGCTGCCTGCTTGTGGCCTGGGAGAAGGGAGAGGATGGCCGAAATCCTTGGTCTGTTGCACCCACTGGGTGACCTAGCAGCGGCTCCTGGCTCCAGATCAGCTCAGCTCCGGCAGCTGAGACCACGTCTCTGTCTCTCCTCTCTGTAAATCTGCCTTTCCAATAAACTATATCTTAAAAAAAAAGTTTTTAAGAGATACCCAGTAAGCCTGGGTCTATTTCCTAGTTTGGAATAATCTTAAAAACACAACCAAAAAAAATGATATATTTATTTTTATTTGACAGGAAGGTTTACATAAAGAGAGAGAGAAAGAGAAATCTTCCATCCATTGATTCACTCCCTAAATGATCATGATGGCTGAAGCCAGGAACTTCCGGGTCTCCCACGCAGGTGCAGGGTCCCAAGGCTTTGAGCCATCCCCCACTGCTTTCCCAGGCCACAAGCAGGGAACTGGACGGGAAGTGGAGCAGCTGAGGCACAATCTGGTGCCATTATGGGATGCAAGTGTGGCAGGCAGATGACTAATGTGTGGTGTCACCATGCCAGCTCCATCCTTGTACTCCTGCCCAGCACAGTGGCACCCTGCCCCCAGCAAGCCTCTGGATCGTCCCCAAGCCTCCAAGGAGTCCCACCAGCACTTCTGCAGCAGCTTGTGACCTCAGGCCTGGACCTTAGGCCTGGCCCACAGCTGAACCGGAGCTGGGGAGACCCAGTGACGAAAGCCCCTGGCTAGGCCGGGCTCCGAACATACATTCTGGCAGCTGAATGTTGGGATCGTTTGTTAAGATGCATGTCTGCTTAACTCAGTGGGCAACACGGCCCTTGACTGTGGGAGCAGCGTCCTAACAGGGAAACCCTGCAAGTGCTTCCCCAAAGATGTCCACTACGTCCAGGGCACTTCCGATCCTTCCGGATGCCCAAGCCAGTGGAATTAAATCCGAGAAAAATCACTACACATGGGGAGAGTTCAACAGAAGACGGACGTGTTTTTAGACTTGCAGATATTTGGAAATCTTAGAGAATCTACGATAAAAACTCCTTGAAACAACAAGACTTCATCAAGACAGAAGGACATCAAGTTAACATGTAAAATCCAAGTTTCACATTTACAAAACATAACTCATTACAGGATATAACAGATGAGAAAATTCATTTACAATAGCAAAAACAAAAAAGACTAAATATTTGGGGTTAGATTGAGAAATTTAAGGAATGTCCAAACTTGGGCGGAAAGGACAATGAAGCATCCTAAATTAGACAAAAGTGGAAAATGGATGCTGTCGGAAGTACAGACAGGACGCCTGAGCGGAAAAGCCACGGTGACACCTGCCAGTCTCAAACACGTGGGGAAGTACCGATACCTCGGCATCCGAGGGAGAGAGAGCTGGGGAATCCGACCGGGGAACCAGTGAGGCAAATTCAGACATCTACTTTTAAAAGCCCACTGAGAAACGGAGGTAACTGACTGTCTGCCAAATGAGCCTGAATTCACGCCTCTTCTCTCAGGGGTCCTGATGATATTTTATGTGCAGTTCATGTTCCTTGTATAAATGTTATTTTTGATATTTTTCAGTATTTGATTAGGGCATGATACACCACAGAGGCAGACGGTGGGCAGAGGGAGAAGGCTGCGAGGCACGGCTGCATCCCATAATGGCAAGTCTGACAGCAAGTTCTGCCTCCACTTCCATGGCAGCTTCCTGCTAACACACCCAGGAGGCAGCAGTCTGTGGCATCAGGGGCTTTGCCGTGCACACAGGCACCTAGTGCAATTCCTGGCCCAGCAATGCCTGCTGTGGAAATCTGGGGAATAAATTAGATCAAACCTCTGTCTCTGTCTCTCTACCATTGCAATCAATAACCAAAGTTAAAAAAAAAAAAACTAAAACAAGTTGGAAGGCAGCTAGAACACATGTAACTTGATCCGCCCCAGTATTAACACATACTAAAGTTGACGGACGGGCAGTGTTGTGGCATTCGGGGTTAAGCTGCGGCCTGGAACGCAGACACGTGTTGTCAGTTTGCGTCTTGGCTGCTCGCCTCTCCTCGCTCTCCCTGCTGGTGCACCTGGGAAGGCAGCACAGGATGGCCAAGCACAATGGAGACCAGGATGAGCTCCAGGCTCCTGGCTTCAGCCTGGCCCCGCCTGGCTGTGGGAGTCACTTGGGGGAGTGAAGCAGTGGCTGGAAGACTCAGTCCCCCTATGGAGCCCTGCCTTTCAAATAAACAAATAAACAAATCTTTAAAAATGATGAAGAAAGCAGAGTTTCAGAGTCAGCATTTGGTGCAGTGGCTAAGCTGCCAGCACTCCACACGGGTGCCCACCTGGGGCTGATCACCCCAGCTTTGTGCCAGAGCAGACCTTACAAGGCAGGGGGACAGCAGCAGCACTGGGCTCCCTGCCGCCCAGGAAGGAGAGCTGCCTGGAGCTGCTTGCTCCCAGCGTAGACCCTAGTCCAGGACTGAGGGTGTTCGGGGAAAGAATCAGCAGATGGGACCGTCTCACTCTCTAATAATCACATTTTTAAAAGAAAATTTACAAAGGTATAAAATGTAATAATTTAGCATCATGGAAGTAATCACCGCAAGCACTAAGCCAGTGCGGAGGATGCAAAGATGCTGCCGTTGGAATGCTTTTTATCACCTGCATATGCAGGCGGCAGCAGTTGCCATGGACACAGATTTCCCAGGCCTGTGGCCTTCCAGAAGGTTCTGTGGCAGAGCTGCTTCACCTGTGACCTTCACCCCTGAGGTGAGATGCACAAAGTGCAAACCCACACGGTCAGACCCACCAGAGGGCACGAGCACCCCACCGGGGAGGCATAAATCAACCCAGGAAAAACCACACACACACCCAACAGTTCACATTACTTATTTTCATTATTATTATTTTCTTTTAAAATGTGAAGAAACAGACTCACAGTTCCACAAGGTTTGGAAGCTTCTGAGCAAGGTTTTCCGGCTGAAAATTAAAAACTCAGAATTAAATTTTAATTTTGAAAAAAAAAAACCGCATCAACATTTTTAGTTTGCTTAAATACAAGGTTCTGCGGCTGCTGTGGTGGCGTGGCATGCTCATACTCCACCTGCAGGTCCTGCTTCCCACATGGGCTGCTTCACGTCCCAGCTGTCCCGCTTCTGACCCAGCCCTCCACAAGTCTTTCAAGTAAAATAAATGAATCTTTTTTTTTTTTAAAAAAAGTACTACTTTTGGAGGGGGCACAAGTTGTGAGAAATGACACCCCTGCATGCCCGTGGCTCGTGCTTCCGTTTGTCCCACCGGAAGTGCAGGACTGAGCTCTGAGCGCCGGTGGAGGGCTCTCACACAGTGCCTAGGACCACCGGGAAAGACGAGGCCGCCAGCATCCCCACCGGGACCCCCACCCTCACCGGCACCCCACCCGCACCCCACCCGCACCCCCACCGGCACCCCACCCGCACCCCCACCCACCCCCACCCGCACCCCACCGGCACCCCCACCCTCACCGGCACCCCACCCGCACCCCCACCCGCACCCCCACCCCCACCCCCCCCCCCCACCCCCACCCCCCACCCGCACCCCCCCCCGCACCCCCACCCGCACCCCCACCCGCACCTCCACCCGCACCCCCACCCGCACCCCCACCCGCACCTCCACCCGCAGTCAGAAGCACGCATGCTTTCTACAACTGCAAAAGCAGAAGCAAATTTTAAGATGTGCTATGCTTGTAGCTGATTAGTCAGCTATATTATATACATTTTAAAATCTCCACACTCAATGAACGAATGTCACTCGCTGGTATGTCTGGGCCATTGGGCAAGCAGCCTGATGACGCCACGGAGCGACAGTGAGCAGGGCGTTAAGGGTTTGTGTTTGAAAACAAATAGATTTTTCATTTTCCGTGTTTATTTATTTGAAAGGCAGGGAAACAGAGTTCTACCCACTGATTTCACCCACTCTCCAAATGGCTACAAAGGCCATGGAGGACTGGGTCAGGTCAGGCCACAGCGGGCAGGGACCCAAGGGCATGAGCTGTTGGCACTGCCATGCAGAATCCACACCAGCAGCAAGTTGGAGCCACGAGCCAGAGCCAAGACTCAAAGCCAGGCGCTCCGGGGGCCGCAAGGCTACAAAAACCAGGACAAACAGCAAACCTGGACACCGTGGAAATACAGCGGCTTGTTTTAAACAAGGACGTACTAAGTACCCGCTCGGGGGAAGCGCCAAAGCGCTGAGAAGGTGCCAACTTTCTCTCCAGGTCTCGGCATCAACGCACACAGCAACGCCCTCAACCCCAGCCTTGCCCGACTTGAGGCCCCACCCAAGTCCCTGGGGTGTCCTGCGAGCACTGCCACCCCTCCAGTTTCTGGACACACGCCCAGAGGCTCCAGGGAAGTGGGAGAGCGGTGCTCAATGCAGCCTTCTTCCCTAAAAGGAAACGCTTGCTCAGGCAGGAACGCTGCAGGGTTCTCACCCAGTGCCCTCTGCCACAGCAGTGTCAGCCCGTCCCCCTTTCCGGAGGCCCCCCTGGCTCTGCCGGGCAGCAGCCTCAGCTTCCTGCCACACTAGTTTGCTCCCCTGGAACCACACGCTCCATCAAGCACTGAGATAATGCCTCTGCTGCCCGCAGCACACCTCGTCGTCTTTGTTAACAAATACATCGCATTTTCATTTAAAAGGAAGCACACTGACCTTGAAAATACTGCAGCTCAATAGGCTACTGCCTTTTAAAAACCCGCAACTGTATCACTTAAGAGATGGTCCAGAAACAGGTGGAACAAGCGGCTCCATTCCCCAGGTCGAGGCTGCCACCTACTGGTATGCTGTGGTATCACACTCTGTTTTCCACAACCAGCAGCCAGGGGTCCTCCTGTTTTGTTTTTATTTGTTTATTTTCACCTACTGTAAAGGCACAGAGATGGAGGGGACAGGGGGAGTGATCTGTCTTCTAAATTACCCACACTAAGGAGCACCACAGCCAGGGCTGGGCCACACTGCAGCCAGCAGACCAGAACCTTAAAATGTAGGAACACACGGTGAGACCGGACAATGGCAAATCAATACTGGAACTTTCTGTATTTCCAGGGGCAGATGTTTGCCAAGCAGAAACGTGGGACGTGCACATCCCACACGTGCAGGGCTTGGATGGAGTTTCCAGTTCCTGGCTTTGGTGGTGGTTCCGCCCTCTGATTGGTGTGGGCACTTGGGAAAGAGGACCGACTCTTTGTATCTTTCTCATGCACAAAAATGTGCCTACAAAACTGTGCTGCTGCACAGGCAGACTGTGACACTGCATCAGGGACACCGCGCAAGCTGGTTCAGCCCAGACCATGAGATTTGAAATATTTCTTTTTTTTTTTATTTTGACAATCTTTACATAATTAGGGTAAAAAGGCTCAAGGGCTACAGGAAAGTGGGTAAGACTAGTATTTTTTCCATATTGTTTCCTTCATGTTTAAAGGGGAGTATTAAGGGAGAAGGCCCACCCAATTTCCCACCCTCCCCAGGTCCCGGATGTAGGGCATGCTCTGAGGTTCTTGCTCAAGTGGTTTTGATATTGCAACAGTTATGAATGGCTGCCAATCTTGCCACTCCAAGCACTATGAGGTCTTTGAAAAATCCACTGACTGACATAGTCCATCATAGCTGAGATGGTTGGTTGACCTGTTCTGTCTTCTCTCTTTTCTTGGTTAGGGTTCTGAGTCCAGCATTTAGATTAGGAAGATCTCCAAAGAAACTTCTTGTATGTGCTAGCAAGTACTGGGCCCGGCACAGTCCATCGCCCTGATCAGCTGGTGGTTGTAATTGCTGGGTTAGTTCTGTTCTCACTCCCAACTTCCACCGGAATCAATGGGTGTTGCAGTCCAGCCTGGTTCTGCCCAGCATATACCTGGCCCTCACATAAACCAGTGGGAGCTGCAGCCTAGTGAGAGCGACCTGCAATAACCCCCACCAGGCCCGCCCCCTACCCTGGTTCGCCAGTATGTGTAGCAGTAATCCAGTCTGTCCCACACCCCATTCCACCCCAGCTGCTGTCTTAGTTTTATGTCCTCCCGTGGAAGTGGTAACCCAAGAGGGATGAGCCCACTATTTCCCTCCCAGGCCTCTCCCACTCCCAGATTCCAGCTGATGCTGTGGCTAAGCCCAAACAACCCTCGCCCACTCTAATTTTGTTTGCACCAGTAGAAATAATCCGCCCAGCCCGGCTTTTCCCTGATCTAGTCCACATGAGGCGCACAGGTGTGGTAGCTCTGCCTAGTCTGGTCTGCCCCCATCCCAGCCTATGCTCTCCTGCGGGAGTAGCTGTCCAGCAAAGGAACCCTCTCTTATTCCCCTGACGGCTCTGCCCCCTTCCTTCCTTGTTCTCATGCTGGTTGGCACTGCAGTCCCTTTCGGTACAGGCAACCTCACCTTGGCATTCCATATTGTGCACTATTCTTTCTTGTGACTGAACCAGGCTCAACCCACACTGGTGCTTGGATTTGCCAGTGGATGACGTGGACAGATTCAGCCTGGTCTTCTGCCAACCCCTGCCAATTGTATGCCAGTGGGAAACTTTTTGTGGCCTTTTCTGGGCTGTTTCCTATCATGTTTCTTGTGCTTACCTGCCGGGTCTGTGTCCTGCCAGAGGAGTTGCCCAGGCTCCTCCATCAGAACCTCTCCCAATGCCAGGTTTCACGCTTACCAGTGGGTCCGTGAGCCAGCCCTACTCAGTTCACCTCCTAGCAGGTGAACTGTCATAGCAGGAACTGTGGCTTTTCCTGACTGGCCTTCAACCCAATCTGGTTCTTGCTGTAGGATGTTTCAGCCCAGCCATGGTTTGTCCATACCCACGTATGGCTCACACATGGCTCTGTAGGGGTTTGAGACCTTGCCTAGCTCATCGCACATCTGCCCTGCTCCTCCAGGACACCAGGGGGTGTTGGGGTCTGGCCCGGTTCGGTGCATCCAATCCCAGTCCAAACTTGTGCCAAGGGAGACTACAACCATTTCCAGATCAGAATGCAGCCCCCATTCCAGGTCACATGCCCCTTGGCAGGAACCTCAACCCAGCTAGGGTTGTCCCCTTAGCTCCCCAACCGTGCCTGTTCCCGGCCATAGATCACTCTCATGCCAGTGGATGCTCTGACTCAGCTTGGCACAGCCCTTCACCTGTCCCGACCTCTGCCTTAGACACTGAGGCTTAGCGTCCCTGGCTCATGTGGACCAGTAGGTACAAGAGCCTAGCTCGTCATGACCTGTGCTCCCTCCTGGTTTATAGTTTTGCGTGTGGGCTAAGGTTTGCTCAGTCCTGCCTGATCTACTCTGTTCCATTACCAGTTGACACATTAGCCAGCTGTTGGAGCTACTTTTGCAGGACAAGCCCCAAGCCATAGTTTCTGCATGGACTGGTATTTGGTGGTCAGCATTGTTCAGTGATTACAAGTTTTACAAAGGAAGAGTTACTGCCAGTGGGAATCTTTACGAATGTTTCCGGTCCTAGAAGCACAATGGGTTCAACCTGGAGCTAATTAAGCAGCGACTCAAAGAACCAAAACCCCAGAGCTCCCTGGCCGGGCGGCCAGCAGGCAGAGCCTGGCACCAAATGGCGCACTGGCTGTCCAGAACAGCTCACCACACCTTGGGAGGGATTGGGAGGGGCGTGACCTTGGGCCTGGGAATTTAAACTTCCAGCAACCTCCCGGCTGCTGGTGGGTCTCAGGACGGGGTATCTCATGCCTGGATCCCAGACGAAATATTTCTAAATTTGAAATCCTGATAAAATCAAGTGTCTTAGAATACATCTCAAATTTGTCATTATTATCATTTCCTTCCTTTCCCCACAGTTCTGAGGCAAAAACGTATCAGCAGATATATAACCTCTATGTAAATTCCTAATGGTTCTTATTAGTTAAAAATTGGTCTGGGCCTGGTGTGTTGGTTCAATGGCTAAATTCTCACCTTGCAAGCACCAGGATTCCACATGGGCACCAATTCATGTC